GCCATATTTTCCAACTACTGGTCCTTCCTCTTTGCTCCCAACCTTTTGCATTCCAATCACCAGTAATGAGCAATACATCTTGATTGCATGTTTGATGGATTTCAGATTGAAGAAGTTGGTAGAATTCTTCTATTTCATCCTCACTGGCTTTACTGGTTAGTGCATAAATTTGAATAATAGTGCTATTAAGTGGGCTTCCCTGTAGGCTCATGGATATTATCCTATCCCTTACAGCATTGTACCTCATGACTGATCTGGATATGTTCTTTTTGACGATTAATGCAACACCATTCCTTTTCAATTTGTCATTCCCTGCATAGTTAACCATGTGGTTGTCAGATTCAAAATGGCCTATATCAGTCCATTTCAGCTCACTAATGTCTAAGATATCGATGTTTATGCGTTCCATTTCATTTTTGACAACTTCCAATTTTCCTAGATTGATACTTCGTACATTCCATGTTCCGATTTTCAATGGATGTTTACAGCTGTTTCTCTTCATTTTGAGTTGTGGCTCATCAACAAATGAAGGTTCTATGGGCTTTTCTCCCACGAGCTTAACTCTATTCAAGTCATCTGGTTTATGGTTACCCTATATAGGGTTTCAGAGAACAGCTGGTGAGTCTGAATTGCCAACCTTGCGGCTAGCGCAGTTAGCAGTCCAGTACTTACTCCTGGTGTGGCGCTGTGGGCTAATGCGCCAGACTGCAAAGCCATTTGAACTACAAGGTTGGCGGTTCAAATTCATCAGTCACTGCTCGGAAACTGTATACAGGGTCGCTATGGGTCAGAACCGACTCGATGGCACTTAACAACAACTTACCCTATGGCCCTCCTTGGATTATGTTGTTGTTGTTGATTATGTTGTTGTTTGTAAATACTGTGGAGTCATTTCTGACTCATAGTGACCATGCACAGGGTTTCTGAGGCTGTAAATCTTTCCAGGAGCAGAAAGCCTCATCTTTCTCCCGTGGAACAGCTGGTAGTTTCCAACCGGCAATCTTGAGGTTGGCAGCCTGACTTGTAACTACGCTACCAGAGCTCCTTGGATTATACTAGCTGTGGTATTATAGGTGGGTCTAGAATTAATGATTTATCCATGAGAGTAGAAATCATCACATAATAGCAAGTGTTTCATGAAAAGCTGTCCTATTGTTGCGAAATATGACCTGTTTCCTCTGAAATTATGGATACATAGTTCCATCAGAATTGGTAACATAAATTCATTTCTCAGCAAGTATTTGTTAACAAATGGCTTTTGTAAATTCCTGATGAAGTCAGGAGGTGACAAGAATTTTCTGAGGGGTCAGGGGGAAATACCTGATTATATTAAGACAGAAAAGAAAAAGTGTTGCAGTTTTTCCATCTCTTATTTTCAGTCAGAAATCTGGTACCTGAACTTGAACTAAAGTAATTATCTACTTAAAACAAAGGAAAACGAAACCTAACCTTTATTATAGATGCAGAGCAACTTAGAATTGTCCCATAAACACTTGTTCTGAGGCCAGGGGCAGACAATTATTTGCAGGGATCAAATATAAATTTTAGACCCCTTGACTCAGAAGAGTCCTCAAAAACATCTTGTCGATGTATCCGAGTCCTGTGCATGGATAGGCAGTCCTCGTGCAGTGCTGAGCTTCAAACTCACCAGCTGCTCTTTGTAAATCCTATACTGGGTCAACGATGAGTTGAAACCACTTCGCATTTAACAACAACACGCATTGCTATAACCTCAAGTAGGGGTTCTGATGTGGTGCTGTGGGTTAACATGGTGGTGGTGGTTATTGCTGTGGAGTTGGTTCTGACCCGCAGCGACCCTGTACAGGGTTTCCGAGGCTGTAAATCTTTACAGGAACAGAAAGCCTCATCTTTCACCCACGGAACAGCTGGTAGTTTCAAATTGCTGACCTTGAAGTTTGCAGCCCGATTGGTAACCACTACACTACCAGAAATCCTGTGGGTTAATGTACTGGACTGCAAAGTCAGTTTAAACCACAAGGTTGGTGGTTCAAGCTCATCAACCACTCCTCAAACTCTATACAGGGCCCCTATGGGTTGGAACCGACTTGAAGGCACTTAGTAACAACCTCAAGTAAGTGATAGCAGAGTGAATGAAATAATGAAAAGCATCATCAAATATAATAATCATTTTTAACTATTCTGATAGCTTCTCAACTTGTTCCATAACCCTTTCTGGAGAAACAAAACTCTGTAAATGGCAAGTAGTCAGAAAAGCAAGTTTCACAATTACTGCTACCCATAGCTGATGCTCTCATCTTGTTCCCATCCGACCGCCCACCTTTTTTTCTTTTCTTTTTTAGTATTTCTACCTTATTTTTATTTATAAATTTTGTTTAATCAATTTACAGCAACTTTAAGAAGTCGGATTAGTGTATACACATACAAAGGCATACACTTGAGTAACCACTACCCAGGTTCAGTTGTTGTTAAGTTCTGTGGATTTGGTTCCGACTCATAGCGACCCTGTACAGGGTTTCCGAGGCTGTAAATCTTTACGGGAGCAGAAACCCTCATCTTTCTCCCACAGAACAGCTGGTAGTTTTGAACTGCTGACCTTGCGGCTCGCAGCCTGATCCGTAAACACTGCGCTACCAGAGCTCCTTAGGTTCAGTAGAAGACTAAGATTAAAAACAATCCACCTCCCCACCAGTCCTTGGCTTTTCATCCTGGTGTGGCGCTAGAGGATCAGCATTGGACTTTGAACCACAACGTCAGCAGTTCATACACACCAGTTGCTCCTGGGAAATCCCAACTAGATGGTACGTAACAACTACAACAAAACATCATTTAATAAACAATAATGCTTTGTTGTTGTTGTTAAGTGCCGTGGAGTCGGTTCCGACTCATAGCGACCCTGAACGGGTTTCCGAGGCTGTTTCGACCTTGAGGTATGAGAATTGGGTTGTGAACCTCAGGGTCAGCAGTTCAAAACTACCAGCTGTTCCGAGGGAGAAAGATGAGGCTTTCTGCTCCCGTAAAGATTTACAGCCTCGGAAACCCGTTCAGGGTCGCTATGAGTCGGAACCGACTCCACGGCACATAACAACAACAACGCTACAACAATGCTTTGAGCCAGTTTAAATCATGGGCTCAGAAAGCTCCTGCCCTGCAAGGGTCATTCATTATTCTCAGTTCCCGTCTTTTTTCTTGAACACCATCTCAGGGCACGATTGCTGGGTTGTTCACATCGCCCCAGGGAGCTTACCTCTTTCCGCCACCCGCTGCTCCACTGTGGGCCCCCGAAACGTGGACACCCTGACTCCTCCCCGCGCCCCGCTTGACGCCCCGCCCCACGCCCCAGCCCGGCCCGGCCCCGCCCTCCTCCCCAGGCACCCGGGTTTGCGCAGCGGCGGAAATGGCCAGGGCGGGGCGAGAGCCGCGGCGAAATAGAAGGTGGGCCCCCTACTCCTCTCGGATCCCGCCGGCTCCTCCTACTCCGGGTCACGCCGTGACAGGGGCGGAAGCGGCGGCGGCGGCGGCGGCGGCGGCTGAGCTGGAGCTGCCGCTCGAGGCGCGGATCCTGCCGTCCTGTGCGCGCGGCGCGCGGCACCAGAGAAGCGCGCGCAGTCCGAGGCGGCGCGCACGGTCTAGCCGGCGCTTCCAGGTGGGGGGCGCGTGGCTCCGGGTTCTGGCGTGGGGGCGGCAGCCGGTTTGGGGTGACTCTGCTGCACAAAGCTGCCTAGCTGGGGTGCTAGCGTCCCTTCTCCTCCCAGTGCGACGTCTTTCGCTGGGTAGGAGGTGGGCGGGTGTCCCCGAGGTTTATCCCATCCCCCCTTTTGCATGGGTTGGGGTTCGTGGTGGGAATTTCTGAGAAGGGAAATTTCAGGCGGTGGTTTGGGGGCGACGGGCTCCCCTGACTCGTCGTTTTGTGGGTCTTTCCTAACCCTCGTACAATGTTCCTTTTCCATACAGCGGTGCCTTCTCCCCGAGACTTCTTGCACCTTTCCAGCTCAAAGGTGAGCCCTAGGGGACTGTTGCTTCTCCGACTTCGGAGAAAGCTTTTCGGGAAGCGAGGCGGCTGCAGCTGGCACCCGGAGTGATGGGACTCCCAGCTGGGGTTTGCCAAGCCCTGTCACCTGGTAGGTACCATCTGCTGGGGAAACCCACCGTCCGGGTGTAGAAACTCCCTGGCGTGTGCTTCCCAGCCGATGGGGTGGACGAAGCGCAGGCTCAGCCTCGCCGGTGTTGTAGTAATTCCAGCACAGCCACCATCATTAACTTGATTGGCATTCCTAGGTTGCTGGGGTAACTCCTTCAGGATTGGGGACCTCGATTTTGGTGGCTATTAGTCAGTAACCTGGGAGCTGGCAAGTGAAAGAAGGAAGAAATAGGCCCAACTGTAGAAAGTTGGGGTTCAGTAATCTGGCACCCCGCCAAATACAGGCCCAGTACTGGCTTACTTTAGGTAAGTAAGTTTACAGGACTCTGTAGAAGCTGCGAACTCCTCAAGTTGGGACTGAATCCCTACCAGGCTCCCCCACCTCCTACTCCTGTACCCTTGGTTTTGCTGATTTGTGTGTGTGTGTGTGTGTGTGTGTGTGTGTGTGTTTTAAAATCTCATTTTTGCTGGTGAAAGGCAGCTGGAGGGAAGGTTTCTTCAAGAGGCACTTGAGAAAATTGCCATCAATAATTAATTATCTTCCACAAAATAGATGATTGGGACATACTAAAAATTAAAAACTTATGTGCATCAAAAAACTTCACCAAAAGAGTAAAAAGGGAGCCCACAGAATGGGAAAAAAATCTTTTGCAATGACACATCAGACAAGGGACTAATTTCTAAAATATATAGGAAACTAAGGAGCTCTGGTAGCGTAGTAGTTATGATCGAACCTCAAAGTTAGCAGATCGAAACTACCAGCTGTTCCA